TGAACCCATTTTAGATACTAACCTAATAACTCTAGGCTCAGAGACTCTGCTTGTCCCATAAAAATGCAGTGGAATTGAAACGCAAGCCCTAAAATCATGTTATACTTCCTCTCCGCCACTACATATTGAAAATAAAGGAGTGGGGGAAGGCACAGATTCAAAAGGACATGCAGATTCTCTGGCGCTGGGATCTACCAGGAGAAAGCCAACTCTGGAGCAGAAAGGTGACAGCCAAATCCAGCAGCAGCAATTCCAACATAATCTTTGGTTTTGGGTGTAATCAACATTCCCCCTTCCAAATCAGAGGTGAGGGGGCAGGGCCAGGGAAGGGGGACAGTTGCTGTAAAGTGGCCAGATTAAGCATTTCTGCCATCTTGCTAGTGACGGCTTGCACCCAAATGCCATCTGGTGATGTACGCGGGGAGAGAGCTGTGCGCACACTTATCCCTAAGCAGAGGTGGGATGAAAGGCCAAGTCCATCTCAATTAACACATTCATTCTTTATCTGCTCTGGAAAGAAAATGGCCAGGGAAAACCCAGAGGGTTTCTTTCGTAACATTAATCCTTCAGGGACCTAAAGCAGGAAGATGCCTGGAAACTGATGTGTGCCTGTGCCTTGAGGTGCCCGTGTGATGCTGGAAGGGCGCTTTGCTACCCCGTTCCTCCGCCTGAAAAATGGACTAATCAGCCTGATTCACCTCACTGGGCAGGTAGAAGCTAACTCACAGCTACGGCGTGCTCTGAGCGCCAAGGACCTCAGCAAAAAGGTGCAGATATACTGATGTTATTTTCAAACTGCCAATATCAGAAGGGAAATCACAGCAAGGACCGTAAGAACAGAACCTCCAGCCCGCAGAATGAGTTTGCATCTCGTCTCTTCCCTCCCACTGTTGCAGTAACAAATCAGGTGCCGGAGGAAAGCTGCACTGAAACACATCTTCAGTGCTGAGGGACCAAATGGGATGTTTTACTGCATCAAATAAGGCCCAATAATGTCCTCAGGCACTTCCAAATGGTTGTAAAATATCCTAGGAGGGCAAAGCAGGTTCCGTAGGCTCCTCAACGCCTCCCCAAAGGGCAACTGCTTGACTGGGTAAAGTCTCCCAACCAAAAAGAGGAACTAGGTCGTGGTCTTTCGGAAAAGAGGCTGACAGAACCTCCTATCTAGAGAGCTACCAGAAACAAGCAAGAGAACAGTAAGCCCTCCCCAGTGGAGAGGCCCATGGCGTATGGGAGGTAGGAGTGGCCTTCGGGGATGAGCCCAGGCGTCAGGTCCAGGAAGACCACGCTCCCTGAGACCAGCCTCCCAACGCCTTCCCTGGGCTTCCCACAGAGCGGGGAAGAGTTCGCCACTGCCCTCTCTCTCTTCCCTGTGTTTTCTATCCACACCTGCCTTGCTGTCGTTCCTTGCTAATCCTTGCTCCCACCCTGTGCCCATCCCCCTTTCTTCTCTGCCCCCCCCCCCTCCGGCCTCTGCCACCTTTCAACAACAACAGAAGAAAGGTTCTGGAGCTGGGGAGCCAGAGGATGCTGCACCAGGCAGCGCCCAGTTTCCAAAGCAGGCGGAGCCACTCGGATCGAGCAACCGGGGTCACCAAAGGCTGAACACATGAACCACACACAAGCGACAGAAATTGTTCAGAGGCAGAGGACCAGAGGTCACCAGGGAGGCTCTGGCCGTTTGTTTTAATTGTGGGAGACGCCTTTCACGCATATTCAATCTCGCCTGGTGATTTATCACTCCCCTGGGTGTTTTAAGTGTTCTACTTCACTTCGCCAGCCCTGCATCTCCAAGGGGAGTCCGCACAAAATTGAAGATGACATTGGACTTTTATGTCTTCCTGATCCAAGAGGCGGCTACGGCTTCAGAGAACTGTCAAGACTCCATTCCTGTTCCTCCACCAGCGTAAACCACAGCTGGACCTTGATGGCTCAAACCATTTACTAATAAAACAAGCTCTCTAAGCTCTACGACCCCCATGATTTCTCATCTGTCGATTTCCTTTGAAATCCCGTGCTTCCTTGGAGATCACGGGTACTCAGACCAGCTCAGGATCGGGGAGTGAAACCTGTCCCTTGAGAGGGAATGAAAGCAAGACCCTGAAATGTGCAAGCTCCCAGACTGGATTTTCACCTCCCAAGTGTGCGGCACAGCTGGCCGCTGCTCACCTCATCAGCACTATGGCTCTGAAGCCCACGACACCCCAGCCTCACTGTCGGACCTCACGCCCTCACTCGAAAGACTCAGAGGCCAGGAATATGTGTCACTGTCGCTCTCCCTGAGAATGAAATGTATCTAGGTTCTTAGGGGCGGCTTTTGATCACTAGGTGCCACTCTGAGTCAGTACAAATGCCAACCCAGTTGCACTGATTATCAATTGGGGGGAAAAATGTGGGGAGCTAAGATTAGCAGGAGGAGCAAAATATACCCTTGCAAACTCAAATCAGATAGTAAAAGAACCAGGGAAGTTAATTCTGGCTTTTTCAGTTTTAAACTCCAAACACATGGAAATTAATTGCTGAGCTCTTACGGTGAACTATTTCCTGTGTCTTACCTCATTTAATCCTCATAACAATCCTGGGGGTTAAGGACTGTTTTATTCACTTTTTACAGGTGAGGACACTGGGCTTTAAGAGAAAGTAAGAATTATGGACAAAGTAAGTGGCAGAGCAGTGGTAAACTCAGTTAACCAGACCAGACAGCCTCTTGGCATTTCCAAGGGAATATGGTAACCCCTAAACCGAAGGGTAAACCCCTGGAATTAGCTTAAGTGCTCCTCAGCCCCCAAGGGTACTATGTAGACAGTGTCAGGCGCAGAGGCCTCACGGTCAGGCAGAAGAGTACCGAAGGCGAGGAGGAGAAGGAACACGCCCGGGTCATGGTAGGTAGGTAGACCCATTCTTTTTTTGAAGAAATCTATGATCAGAAAATATTAAAAACAAAATAAAAAGCAGGGCAGGCTGGTTTGAACCAAGACTAATGAGTGAGACTGTCCAGTTCACCATCAGCCTTCCCATATCTCGTCCGGGACTCTGTAGATGGAGCTCTGCCCTTCACATTCTGGGTGGCCACACTTACAAAGCCCACCGTGGTGTTTCTCTTCAGTTAGGCTGACTTTGGCCCAGACAGGAGCAGGCACAACCCCAGAGCGACCCCCACACAGGCAGGTGGCTGCTTGGCAAGCGTGGTCACTGGCCCCAGCGACCACACAAAGTCCAGACAATGCAAAGGGTATCAAACTTCATGTGTAGCAAAAACTCCATGATTTCATCTAGTAATCCTGGGATAAGTCCAGCTGTATTAAAAGCCAAGTCCATGCTTTTATTAAACCTCCAGTAATCAGAATTCTTGATTAACTGGAACATGGCAGCCTGCTTTGAGAACAAGTTCACATCAAGATGCTTAAAAAAAAAAAGGCTTCTGTGAATGTCCTAGGAGCAGTACAAATTTGACTACAAATCAAACCTCATTTGTCTATAATAAGAGCTCAGTGAGAACTGACGGTCAAAATCAGGCCCCCGAAGAATCTAAACATTCTGAATCATTACAGAAAGAAGAAAGATGAAATCCTCTCGAGGTGGAATGGTATGGTCATATGCAGGCAGAGCTGAGAGGGCAGGCTGAGACAAAAAGGGACTTTCTGCTGGACCCTGTGCTGGCCACAAAGTCCAGGAACCCACAGTGGATCCACCCCACGGTCTTCTGGGCACCCCGGGGTCACTACTTGAACAGATGATCCACCTGGCCTGCCCAATTCTGGGGTTGGTCATACTGCCCTGCTCAGAGCGTGCACTGCTTGGTGTTGGGCCGTTCGATGCCAACGTGTGGTATCAAAACTGAAGAAATAGGAGCCTGCTAACTCAAACACACAAGTCGGGGTTCATGCTATGGGTTCTTGGAACCACTGACAGATAGAATCCATCTTGTAATGAGACCCATCTGGGACTTTAATAGCTAACCTCTCTTGCTTGGATAATGACTGCAAATAAGATCTACCTTATGCCAGATCTCACTTTTTGGTAGAGGGCTTCCAATGAGCTTATTTTATTCTAATAGCAGAAACTGTGCTGAGGACACCAAAGGACACATCCCACATGACCGTCAGGTGTCGGTGGGCTCACTGGCTTGTGTACCACTGGGGATCAGCTGAGGAGCAGAGGGAGGATGTTGTTATTACTGGGCATAATAAATTCTCCCCACTGCCAAGGCATGTTGGGAGAATGATGAACTGTTGCAGAAGGAAAGCAGCAATCATTCCATTAATTCACTCAACAACCACTGACTGTTCATCTACCGGGTGCCGGCGACTGTCCCAACGTGAGTTCACGCTGACCACAACTCTGCCCCAGGCTGTGACAGAGCTTAAGCAATAGACAGCCTTTAGAGCGCCAACGGACAGACGGTGCACTTAGACGGACTACAGATCAGACCGCTGTGCTAGTGGTTTGCTTTACTTGGAAAGAAAACGGATGTGTACAGAAAGGGGACGATCTAAAGGAAAACGAGGGAGTGCGGGCAGCCCCTTCATTCCACCAGCAGAAGTGGCTGGGTATGACCATGGGTCTTCAGAGGCTGTCACCACATGAAAGGTCTTGATCTTGAGTTAAGGACACCCAAATTTATCCCGTTTCCATGCTAGGGCTATTTATCTAAGGACTACACCACTGAGACAAAGAACTTTTAGACAGACCTCACTGGACAAGAAGCCATGACCATCCCCAGCCCAACAATGACACAAGATGTGAAGGACAGCCGGTCCTACAGCCCCATGACATGCTCTTCAGAACAAGGCAGGCTTCTGGACCCCTGGAGGCTGGTCTGGCCCCACAGGGTGGACGCCTGCTCTCAGACTCAAAGCATGCTGCGGCCAGTCCCCAGGCTCCACCTGCCCTCGGGAGGGCTCAGCATGGCCCAGGGACAGAGACAGGCAAGCTCATGCACGGGTTAGTATCACAGAGGGTAGTACCATCACCACATAGAGTACCTGGGAATAACCTACTTTCAGGGCTCAAATGCAGATAGGTCTTCTGCCTTGGGCTTGAGGCTAAACCAGCAAAATAAAATGAAGAAAAACAAAAACATACCCTGTGATATCAACAATGCCACACGTGCCATTTGCAAAATGCTCAGAAAGACCTGAAATTGTGACAAGTGACTTCATTTGTTTGTTTTTATGGCTTGGGAACAGGTCTCTCCGGCTCTCAGCACTCCAGGTTCCCATGGCTGAGGGCCCAGCTCACTGCAGCAGCTGCAAAGATGAGACTGCTTCGGGTGCCCAGATGAGGAACTGGGGGCCGGGGTGGGGGTGGGGGGAGGCCTGAGGCAGCTCCTTCGAGGGCTGACTGGCTCACTAGCCCAGCTGTCATTTTACGTCTCGGCTCCTGGCTGAGGCCTCACTTTACCTCCCCTTTTGCTAACGGTTTAGTAATTTCATTTTGGAAGGGAAACCCAGTAAATGACGGGAGCCAGAGGAAAGAAGAATGTGGAATGGGGAAAGGCCTTTCCTCTTCGGTTATGCTAGTAAAAGGAATTCTCTACCGGCTGCCAATACTAAACTGGAGTATGGAGACAGAGTTTAGGGCTCCCGACTGTACCCATCAACAATGGCAAGGAGCTACGGAGCCCTTGGAGAGCTCAACTACTGAAAACAGATACTCCTGAGGCGCCTGGGTGGCTCAGTCGGTTAAGCGTCTGCCTTCGGCTCAGGTCTTGATCCCAGGGTCCTGGGATTGAGTCCCACGGCGGGCTCCCTGCTCAGCGGGGGGCCTGCTTCTCCCTCTTCCC